CTGTCTATAATGAAAATTAATTAACTAAGGATTTTTTTGCCCTGCCAGGGTGTGGCCGAGTTATCCGGAGTGCCGGGTTATCGAGAGCCGAGTTTTCGAGGTTCTACTGTAATACCTATTACCATTAGAATTTTCTCGCTTTTTTTCGCTCAATTATCTTCCATGTGAATTTTGTAAGAACTTAAGTCACAATAATACAATAATTATGGGAGAGAGAGAGAGAGTAAATAATATGCATTTTAATTTGCACATTGCTTATAAAGTACTATACATTCAATTACATGATGTAATAAATAATATATATGTATAATTATTTTACAGTTGTGTTGATATAAAAGAACATGAATCATTAGACATTGAAAAATATCACTGTCCTCAGTGCCAAAAATTGCATGGACTTCCAATACGTAAGTTTTATTTGTTAAATTTGTTATATGTTACATTTGTTTTATTAAGTAAACTCATTTCTGACTTTATTTATATTAAATATCTGTGTGTTTGTAATAAATAATAAATATCTGTTTAAATTTTTAAACAATTGTTTATTATTTATGCGGGGAGGTATGTAACACTCTGGATGCTGGGAGCAAGTACATCTGTTCATAGTGCTGTGCTTTACACTTTGTTGTAATGTTTTGGCTGATATTTTCAGCACTTACTATAAAGGTGTGTTTCTTATGATGATTAAATAAATTGTCAACTTCTGTTTATTGTGCAGATGTATTGTTAGTTACACTACCTAACCTTCCATTGATATTTGTTTTCAGACTTTTAATATTAAATCATATAACCATATGGGTCATTTGCCACACTGACTTGATCATCTTTGCATCTATTGTTCTTCTTGGTTTTCAGCTAACTTAAACTTTTAGTCTGACATTATATATGTATGAATGTATGCATATATGTAAACAAGTCCATATTTTAATAATCAGATGTATAACTGCTGGATTTTTCAAAAACTGAATTACTTGGATATATGTTTAACTAATAAAACTAAGTTTAGCTCAGAAATTCAGTGTTTAAATATTTGATTCGAATATAAACTAAAATTAAATTCAAATTCATGATTGCTGCATCCGCTATGACGTGGAAACTTTTAAGTTCGGGAATATGGAACACGTGATGTCGTTCTATCGTTCGATGTTTTGAAAAATTCTTTTGAAACGAATGGTCGATTTGACGATTTTACCTGAAGAAGGACCCAGGAGGGGTCCGAAAATGTTAGGATTGTTAAATGTTTTCACATCGGTTAAAGGTTTCGGAGGTACATAATATTTAATACTAATTTATTATTGTAGGTATAAAAGTGCAAACTAAATGTTTAAATCAACTTTATTTACATTATTATATCTAAGTTTACAACGATGTACAATAATTAAAAATTTCAAAAGTTACCTTTTATAAGAAATTTTTATTTTTTTCAAGTTTCGATAATGGCGGCACTTCTGGTTTTGAAAATAATCTCGAATCAAAAGGCAACAAAAGATTAAATTAATGTATATCAATTAAAAAAGAAACAATAACAATATTCACTTTAAAAAAGTCAGTTATTTTAGATTGTAGATGTTTTTCACCTAAAAATTGTTTATCAATGTCATTTTCTAAATCGTTGACTTTGTTCATTATTTCTGACGAAGTTTTCTGAGACCTGTAAAACGTTTTCAATAATCTTATTGCATTACGTGCTTCCCTGGTTGATGGCACTGCAGTTTCTCTGTCTGATGTTTCATCTTCATCATAATCATCCACATTTGTTTCGTCTGAAGATTTAATTTGCTGAACAATATCTGCATCTGTATAAAATTCAGATGTTATTAAATTTTCATCTACACTCTCATATCCAGTAGCAGCAGATGACAAAAATTTGCCATTTTCTGAACCACGAAGTGTTTTAATTAATTTATCTGAAAAATGACATTTAAGGCTTCTTATAATTCCTTGATCCATTGGCTGAAGTACACTAGTACAATTCAGAGGAAGGAATACAAGTGATGATGATCTGATGGTAATTTTCTATATCACTTTTAGACCCTTTATTTTTGTATATTAGTATGATCATATTATAATTTAATTTATTTAGGAAGGTTCCTGTTTCAAAGGATTTTGTTTATCAGAAAAGATAGCTATTGCTATTGCTTTAATTATGTCCATATTTAAGTTATTTATGTCTGGAGTATGGATTTTAAGTTCATTATTATATAATAGACTTAATTTGTGGTTGTAACCTCCAGTACATCGTTACATCATTAGTGAAAGGGGGTGAAGCCCGTGCTACTCGGCGGTATTGCATGGGAGGAAGGACAAAGGGAAAGGGTGAGGAGAGAGTAGAAGGTAAGGGGAAGTGTAAAGTAGATAGGAAAGTTGGTGAAGGGAGTCATGAGCGCCTGGCGCCGCAATTATTTGAAATAAAATAGAAATACAGAAGACGTAAATACATAAGATTACAGATTGTACATAGTTGATGAATATGCCGAAAAGGCCGCTGGCACTGGTAGAGAACGAGCCTAGCGCCGAGAGTCGGTTACTGTGGAAGATGTTTACCCGCTGGAAAATTGGTGGGTTGTCCACAACCCCTGCAACTGGGGGATGCTCCCCGCAAAGTCCTTAAAGTCCGCAAAGAGTCTTTTATTCTCAATAAAGTCTTGAAGATGGCAGGGCCAGTTGAGACCCTCGCTGAGGGCCATGTCCCTGAGAGGTTTCCTGTGGGCTGCTAGGTCGCGGCAGACGAAGATAAGATGGAAGGGATCATCACCTCCCCCATCCCACAGCCACAGAGCCCGTCGCCCTTACCCAGGAACCTCCGCAGGTAAGAGCCAAAGTTCCCATGGTCCAACAGCAGCTGGGTGAGGAAGTGATCCATGGAAAAATGCCGGTTCTTTATCCTGTTCTCGATGATGGGGATGAAGCTATGGGTCACTCTCCCAGTTTTGCTGGTGTCCCATTCCTTCTGCCATAGTCTGATGAGGGCCTTGTGGATGGCCGACCAGATGTGAGAGACGGGAATTGCCGCATAACTGTGGCTGCTGGCAATCTAGTTAGCCTTCCTGGCGACCAGGTCGGCCCGGTCATTTTCCGGCACCCCTGAGTGCCCCCGTACCCAGAAGAAATTCAGGGCCGAGCACCTGTTAATGTCACTGATTAGTTGCAGGCTTTCTTTCATGATGGGCAATTTTCTGTTTTCTTTCCTAAGTTGATGTAGCACAGTCCGACTGTCACTAATAATGTTGAAAGCCTCCTTCTTGAACTTGTCCGTATTATCCTTGATAAACCGAAGGGCGCGGAGGATCGCAAATGACTCCGCCTGCGCAATGGAGCAGTGAGGCTTTAAGCTATAAGCCGCCTGCCAGTGCAGCACCCTTTGGGGGTCCGTCAGGACCACCGAAGCCCCCACCTCAGTGTTGGTCTTTGAGCCGTCGGTATAAAAGTTAATCCCGTGTTTCGGGGTGACGGGTTCAATATAAAAGTTGCTCTCAATGGAGCAGGCAGGGTGGGGGTCCTTTGGACTATTGTTCCGGTCAATCCTGTTCGTGATAATCTCCTCCATGATGTGTTCGATAGAGTCAGGTAACTTCAATTTTGTGAAGATGTTCTGCACCTGGGTGGGCATGGTCCCGCCACTTTCCAGTAGCAGGAGAGACTTCTTGATAAACTTTCCTAGGGCCACAAGGTGGACCGGCAGGAGCCCTGCAATGGCCAGTAAGGCATCGGTGGAGGTGGTCCGATACGCCTTTGTAATAGCAATCAGGGCAGCCCTTTGGGCAGAGAGAAGTTTCCGCCTATGGTGCACTTTGAGGGTGGTGTACCCCCATTCCTCGGCCCCATACGTGAGAATGGGTTCGACCACTGCTTTGTATATAAGGGTACAGTTCCTGGGGCTTAACCCCCAGGTGTTCCGAGCGATGCTGCGAAGGGAGTTATTAGCTTTGATGGCTTTATTGTACACCTGGTGAATATGATCGGTCCAGGTAAGCTTGGGGTCCAAAGTGAGCCCCAAGTACTGAAGCTTATCCTCGCACTTAATCCT